TATATATATATATATATATATATATATATATCTTCCCTGGATATAAATCCAGTTCTCACCTGAAGTATTTGGGGGTTCACTTGCTGAAGGGAAAGACCAGACAAATTCAATTTAATGATGTGGTTACAAAGATTCAAACAAAACTAAGCAGCTGGACCAATTCTTTTCTCTCAAATGGTGGTAGAATCACTCTTTTAAAGCATGCACTGTCTGGCTTCCCTTCCTACATACTACAAATGACTGCATTGAAGAAAAGTACTCAACACTTACTAGAGAAAACTTTTAACAGATTTCTTTGGTCTGGTCAGAGAAACCAAAAGCATTAGAAAAACTGGAACACCCTTCGTAAACCAGCTGAAAATGAGGGTCATGGATTTAGAAGCTTCAAGTACTTACAATATATCAATTTCTATAAACTTTGGATACATTTCAGAGCACAGGAATCTCTTTGAGCTATTTTCTTGAAAGTCAAGTACAGTAGGGGCTCTCACCCATCGCTTGCCTCTCCCAAACTGGGTGACTCTAAAATCTTGTCTCAAATGCTCAAAAGTAAGGACTTTGCTGAGAACCTTTTCATTTGGGATTTAGGGGAGGGCAACCTGAATTTCTAGCTTGACAATTGGATGGGGGATGGGAAACTTTCTGGGGTGGCGACTGCCCCTTTTCTCACTTGTACCAAGGTCTTTGATTGTTGGAATGAGGTGCATTGGAATCTCCTTTCCCTTCATAACATTTTAGATACTTTAACCATTCAAAAAATTTCTACAATCCCTATGGATCCCTCCAAGCAGGATAAATTGATCGCGTAAAAAGGAATCTATTTCTGCTTATATATACTCCATGCAGCACCATGGTGAGGTCATCACTTGGGGGAAACCTCTATGGAGCAAGTTCCTTTCACCTTCCATGTCATTCTTTTGTTGGAGACTATTTTCCAAATTGCTCCCCACTGATGACATCTTGAAACTAAAAGGTTTGAGAGGCCCTTCCTGCTGTGTGCTATGCAAAAATCATGAGGAGACCATTGATCATCTATTTTTCCAATGCACTTTTGTCCAACAAGTCTGGTCTGTTGTGCTCTCAAATGTGAAAGTGCAAACCATTACTCTCACCTGACAACAATTTCTTCTCTGTTAGAAAGTGTGGCACAAGTTGAGTCTCATGGCTATACCTTGTGTGGTGGCTTGGTTCTCCTGGTTGGCCAGAAATAAGGTCAAGTTTGAGGAGCAACTACTTCTTCCCTCTAAGGTGGCCTCCAACTGCCTTGCTTTTCTCAAGAAGAATATTCAGTGGAAGGCATATCCAGATCTACTTAAGACTGGGTACAAGTCTAATCAGCCTAATTCTGTGCACACCCTTGTGTATTGGATGAAGCCAGTTATTGGTTGGATGAAAGCCAACACTGATGGGAGTTTCTATAAGTCTAATGTTGGCATTGGTGGCCTGTTCAGAAATTTAAAAGGTTCATACCTTCTTAATTTCCTACCTCCCACTGCTATTGAAGATGTACTGGAAACTGAAGCTATTGCTATCTATTGGGCTATCCTCGTTTCCTCTAAAGCTCACATTCAGTATCTGCTAGTTGAGGCTGATTCCCAAGTTATGATAAACATACTTCTAAATACCACTCACTGCCCTTGGCATATTCTGAAATGGAAGAACAAAATAGATCATATCTCCCAAGGCATCGACAAGAGATTCAATTTTGTCCACAGAGAAGGCAACAGACCTACAAATTGGCTTGCTCAAACTGGGCTTGGGGATGATTTTCCCCTCCTCACTAAGAAAATCTCTCCTCCTCTTTCTTTTCTTTTAGAAGGTGACCTACGTGGGTTACCTTACTGCAGACTTTTGTAGCTTTATATATATATTCCATCGAGGAGAAACTAGTGTCTCCCTACATGTTGAAGTAAAGGGAAGGTTACAATATCAAGAGTGGCAAGATGGGCTTGATGAATCAATACATGAATCATCAGTCCATCAACAATAGAAAACAACAATCAGCCCAATGAGCTTCAAAGAAAAATTAAAATGAAGCATAAAGGTTTCCAAAAACATAAGGGAATATCAAAAAAGCCACCAAGGTCAGAGCAATTTGAAAAGTGTGACCACAAATAAATCCTCCTCAGTAGGTGTGAACTTGAGGTATGCATAATTTATGCATAATGTATGCATAATTTATCCCCATGCAGTAGATAAGCTAACTCAGGAGAAGGGAAATTTTCCACAGTAACTTGTTCAGAACATCTACCAGAAGTGGCCAAATAATGAGATGGCCCATTGGCTTTCCTATTGATATGCTGAAATTTAATTGTGTAGCTGCCAAAATTCATTTGAATTTTCCTTATCCATCTTCCAATGTGCCAAGGGGGGTCCTCCTCATGATGCAATGTTACATTGGACAACAATTTTAAGAGACAACCAATAAATAGCTATCATTTTAGTTTCTGCAGCATCTAAAGCCCAAGTTGGTGAGGAGAAATGGAGAACATGGTGTCCAAGGGAGTTTCTGAAAACACCACCACAGCCAGTAGATCCTTTTAAAAAACTTCCATCAGTATTATCTTTCATCCAGCCATCAAGTGGAGGAGCCCATTCAATCAATGAGAAACTAAAATTATACTGAATAACAGCTTGAGGAACCCAATTCCGGAAGATATTAGGGAACTTGTGATATTTGATGATTTTCTTTGGGTAAGATGTGCAATGTGTAGTCACAGCTTTAACAAGAGGTGTAGAAACTTCATATTTGACACTATTTCTGCACATCCATATAAACCAAGCCACTATACAAGGAATAACCTGTAAATTGATCTAGTTCCACTCTTCCCAGCAGTTGTAGAAGTTGATCCAGCTGAGATTAATTGTATCTATTTTTAACTTGGTCAATAACTCAGTCCAAACTTTTTGAGAGAAGTTACATTTAAAGAAGAGGTGATCCAAGGTCTCCTCCTCCTCACGGCACAGAAGACAAATAGAAGGTCCCCTCAGTCCTTTCATTTTCAATATATCATCAGTTGGGAGCATAGAAAGCCATAATCTCCAACTGAAGAAAGACATAGAAGTGGTTAGATGCTTCCCCCAAATATCAGTGCCCCAGTGAACAGGAGGCCAATGAAAGAGGGTTTGATAGATAAAAGAAGCAAATTTCTGAGAATTGGCTTTGTTAGTAACAATCTTATCTCTTTGATCAGGATAAATAAGTGTTTGTTGGATCAAATGCAGTTGCTCACTATTGAGAATATTAGAGAGAAGAGTGTAATTCCACTAATTCCCATTCCAGTAATCTTTAACCATATCATGTGTATTGGGGTTTGAGATAGAACCTTGGATTTTTTTCACCATTCCAAGTCCACCTATCAAGCCAGAAATTAATTTGACCTTCCCCTAGCTCCCAAATGAAGGTCTCCTCAGCTAGCTCTCTAACCTCTAACAGTTTGCCCCAAAGTCTAGAGTCACCCAGCTTTTTGTTAACCAGGCCAGGGTGAGCAAATCTACAGTATTCCCCTTTCATAAAAAAAGCCCGATCCAGCATTTAAGGTTTGCATAGCTTTTGCCAAGGGAGCCGGTGAACTTGTTTCTTCTGACCAGCCCATAAAAAATTGTTAAACATTCTCCTCAGCAGCTTCTGAGTCCCTTTCTTCATAGAAAACATTTGTAGGGCATAAGTGGGGAGGGCAGTAAGAATACTTTTTAGTAGAATGATCCTCTCACCATTGGACAAAAAAGAATTGGTCCAGCATTGTAGTTGGTTCTTAATCCTATCAATTACCTCATTGAATTGAATTTGTTTGTTTCTGCCCTTAATTAAAAGAACACCTAGGTATTTGATAGGAAAAGAGGACAAGCTGAAACCTGTGTAACTAGATATCCAATGTTTTATCTGTTGAGACATATTAGTGTTAGAAAAAAATTGGCATTTTGGTATATTTAACTCCATACCTGAGGTGAGCTGGAAATGTTTGAGGGCCTTATACAACATTTTGGTAGCATTCTTAGTGGTCTTAGAGAAAATAATCACATCATCGGCATAAGCCAGATGACTGATACAGACATTAGATTTGTGCTGATAGGCCAAATGGGGGGAGCTTGAAAACAATTGATTCAGCAATCTAGAGAAATAATCCATAGCCAAAATGAAAATTATAGGGGACAGGGGGTCCCCTTGTTTGATCCCTATGGAAGCAGAAAAGAAGCCATGACAAGATCCATTAATAAGCATAGAATGGTCGTTACAAAGAAGCCATCTTTTGATTAGCAAAATGAAGCCTTCAGCAAAGCCCCTAGCAGCAAGGGTTTCAAGGATGAAATTCCAGTTGATAGTGTCATAAGCCTTCTTAATATCTAATTTATAGATAACATTACCCCCTCTACATTTCTTGTCCAAGTCAAGCAGCATCACTTGGGCAAGCAAAATGTTATCAGAAATGGATCTCCCTTTGATAAAGGCAGTTTGGTTAGCACAAACAAGTTGCTAAAGATTTGGTTGAATTCTGAAGACCAGAATTTTACTTATTACCTTGGTAATAACATTAGTTATGCTAATGGGCCTGAAATCTCCCCAACTGTTTCTGACCTCGTCTTTTGGAATCAAAGTAATAGTTGAGGAGGTAAAGT